AGAACTTTCCTGAGGAAATCACATAGATAAAAACGTGAACATCTTTCTTCTGAGCATCTCAAAATACTTTGCCTTTTAAATTTTTTTTTCCCCTCTCAAAATCTCTTGGATTGGATATGGGACATCCCATAGGTGAGAAAACTGAGGTGAATGGAAATTAGATCATTTGTTTCACATCATCTTCCCTTTCTAAATGCAGAAATAAATTTGTTCTCTGCATTTGCTTTATTGGAGGTATGTCTGCTTGACTAGTTAGAGCATGACAAAGATTATGGCATTCCAGGACTGTTGATCTTTAAATGGATTGTATTCATGAAATAATCAGGGTGGGGGCAGGTCTGGAGGGCAGCCCAGGGATCTACCAGGATGGGATCTGAGCCAGGTGAGGGTTGTGGCTTTCTCTGAGTGGGGATAGCCGCTGTCTGCCCATTACATCAGGCTAGGAAGAGGAAATTTAAAGATATGTGCCTATCTTTATATAAATTTATGTACAGTATATATAATGCATATATATGCATTTCCTCTTCCTATCCTGATGTAGATACATATGATATATTATAGGAATATATTGTGTAGATATATTACAAAATGTGTGTAATATTTTGTATCCCTCTGTCTGACAAGAATGGTGGGCAGGGAACTGGCCCCCCGCCCCCATCCTACCGCTCAGCTTGCTAGTGGACTTTAGACAGGCCCCTTCGCTTCCTGGGCACCTGTTTTCTCAGCTGTGAGATCAGAATATCAGCTTGGGTGCCCGGCTAGGTCCCCTACAACATCACAATCTGAAGAGGGAGGGAGGGAGATTGTTCCAAGTATTAAAAGCGATTCTCCCGTGGTTAACCCTCATGCTGGATGGACCCTCAAAGCACAGTCATTAGGTACCCTTGTCCCTGCCCTGTCGCTTACGAAGCCTGGTTGGGGGTGGGGACGCGTCAGTGTTTCTCAAACAAAATGAAGAGTTCTCCAAGACACCTAGCGCTGACCCCTCACCTGGCCCACTAGCCGCCCCTCCCCTCCCCGCACCCCTCCCCCGGCCCCCACGCTGGGATACTCCTCAGCCCCGCGGAGGGCTGGCCTCACTGGCCGCGGGGTTGACACTGTGAACTCTGCAAGTCGGAGAGTGAAAACCTCCGCACCCGGGGTTTGCCTTTCCCGAACAGTTTCAGCGATTGTTAAATGCAGGGAAGTTACAAGGCGCGCGGTCGAGGACTGGGCTATTTAAACAGAGGCCCCTTTATCGGCTTCACCCCCTACCGCAGGGCAGCCTCCGCGAGTTATCAGAGTGTCATTAACGGGGGGGACAGCTGCTGGTAAACAAGGAGGATGTCGACACCAGCTCCTCAGTCAACAGGAATTTAACTGTAATCTGTCCCTTTGCTCAAAGAAACACCACCCGCTTTCTCTCGGTACCGCGCATCATTAATTTATCTCCGTCAACGTTCCGATAGAAGGCTGGCAGTGACTCAGGAAAACCCGCTGGGATAGAAAATTAATAAGGTGCTAGGGACATTCACCTTAGGTCAATTCGAGGGGACACGGAGAGAAAGAGAAGTTGCTCAGGAGTTCCCTGCTTAGCTGGAAACCGATCCTACATATTTATAAAGGTGAAACTGGAGGGCTGCCAAGCGCCTGCATTTAAGTGATTAACAAATGTTTCCCTTTAAGTGGACACCTCTTGTTCTAAATATATTTGACAAGAATGCAAAGAGTCATCTGGAGGGCACGGAGGGCACCGCTCGGGCCTCCTCTTGCGCGGCCGGCGGGGATCGCGGGCCCCGGCGGCCCGCGCCGCTCCCGCTCGGTGCCAGCCGAGTTCACGTCGTCGGTGGGCAGGCTGCCAGCACCAGCGGCTCCCCGCTGTTTAACGACAATGGATTTACTGCTTCTCTGCATATTGGTGTTATTTTGTATAAACAAGGTTAACAGTCCTTTTAAATTAAATGCACCACCTGGTGACTGAATGGGTGACCTTGCCAGCTCTCTACACCTAGCTCGGAGAAGCCCAGGATCTTGCTCTGATTTCTACCTGTAGCTCGGGACCGGATCGCCTCCCCTTCTTATTTAAAGAGAGGGAGTTGTCCGCTCCCTTGCGCTCTGACCCCGCCTCCGGCGACCCGCCCCCACCGAGGTACAGGTGCGCGCGGCAGGTGAGACCGGTCCGACCCCCTTGCCCGTCGCGCAGGTCGGCTCCAGGCGGTGCCCGGAGTCTGCGCGTTGGCCGCCGGCCCTGGAGCCCCGGGACCGCCCCGCTCGGGCAGTCGGTGTCATCGGAGAGTGACAGACGACCCTGTGGGCCCTGCCAAGGCTGCCTCCAAAATAGAGATCTCCAGAGGGGGCAACACCGTGAAAAAGGTCCTTTGTGTTTCACTCTAGCGTGGTATTGATCTAATATAGGCCTCGGCACTTTCCCCACCCTCCAAGAATTTGAACACCTGGAAAAATTCTCCCGGCTTTACATGTGAGGAAATTTAATGGTGTAAACAAACTCGGCAGGAAGCCCCCTTTGAAGGCGGTGGTGCCGAGCTGAACGGCTTGAAAGACTTTGCTCGGGAACGTCCACTGCAGTGTTGAAGGATGGCTCGGAGTCGAGTAGGGAAATTCAGACACAGAGCACAGCTTTGGATGCATCTAGAAACTTCGTCCAGAAATTTCAAGCAAAAGACACTTTAGTTCCCCGTCGAATTTGAAAGGCACCTCCGCACTCCCTCCTTACTATTTGCCAACCTCCCCCTGCCTCCTACCCCCAAGTAGGGCGGAATTATTCAGGAGTATTCGCGTTCCACCTTAGCCTAAATTCTAGACCGGTTTGGCAGCCTTATTGTTATGCAAAGAAGGAAATCAGATCCGGAGAGGAGCGGTGCCCTCCCCAGGGTCACCTGATCCAGAATCCAAGTCCCCAGACCTGCAAGTCGAAAGCAGTTTTTGCGGTGTTCCCACGCAGTCCCTGCTCTCTCTACCCAGAATGTGTAGTGTGAGCCAGAGCCGTTGGAAATTTTTGTTCTTAGCAGCATAAAAGTCACTGGTTAAATAGCTTCTGCGTAAGGTT